ATGTCTTTCTAATTTGGGATTTCGAGGGGTTACCACAAAAATGTTCGTTAAATTCTTTATTGCTTCCTCTACTGTGAAACTGGAAGCTTTTTGATTTACAAGGTCTCCCGCATCCCAACGACCTTGCCCCCAATCTAACAGGTTTCAGTTCTCATTAAAAAAATCTAGACGATGAGAGAAACCCTAGCATCAACCTCATCATCAACAGCATCCGATAGCACTCCACCAATTGAATCAGCTTGGCTTAATGCTCACGAAAGATTATCACCTCGTTGGCAATCCTCCGCTCTTTCGCCCCAGGTACCTTATTGATATCGAGTTTGTTAGGTTTGCGCTGTGCTACTTCTTTTACCAAAGGCATATGTAGTGTTTGCGATTCTAAAGTTTTGGAATTTGATGTTCGGAAAATTTGGGATTACAATCATATTCTAAAATTCAAAATTCACAGTGAGTATATACACTCTTAGTATGATTACCGACTAAAGAACGCTTTCCTGATTTAGTAACCGAAAGAATGAGTTTTTCTGTTGGTAAATTTGTTTGCAGTCTGCAATTCCAATTGCAATATCTAGGGTTAACCAGGTGGATGCAGGGAGGCTCGACATTGAAATGTCAGCCATGCTCAAAGAGCAAATGGTTAAAGTTTTCTCTGTTATGAAGGTACATCACGCGATTCTGTGATTATCCATGATTAGTTGATTACTATCTCCTAATTAACCACAATCAGATGTTTTTTATACTAATCAGTCGTGTTCATCGGAGATTAATTATGTTCCTCTTCTTTCCTTTTTGTGATTAGCCAGGATTATTATTTCAATACGAAGCAGAACTTGATGCTTTCCTTGAGTTTCTTATCTGGAGGTTCTCAATTTGGGTTGATAAACCTACTCCAGGAAATGCTCTCATGAATCTACGTTACAGAGATGAACGCACCATGGAAACAAGAGCAAAACGTAAGCTTTTTAAAGCAATTACACAATATGAAACATGTAATGAAGCTTTTATCTTATGGTTTCCATCATCATCCTTCTAGTTAGAACAGGGTTAGAGGGACCTGGGCTCACAGTTTATCAGAAAATATGGTACTGTGTTGCTACAGTTGGTGGTCAGTATATTTGGACTCGTTTGCAATCCTTTTCTGCTTTCCGCCAGTGGGGTGATTCTGAACAGGTATCTAATATTCAATCTCAACTTATTTTCATTAAAAAAACTTAATTTCTTTGATGATCAAATTAAAGAATTAACATCTATTTTCTTTTCTTTTCTCTCTCTATTCCCCTCTTGATTTTGTTTGTTATGTGGGCAGAGGTCACTAGCTCGTAGATTATGGTTTATAGTACAACGCGTTGAAGGATTTTATAAAGCTGCATCTTTTGCTAATCTGCTTGTATTTCTCTACACCGGAAGGTATATGAAAGAAATAGTAACATACTTGTTTCTTTGTATTACAATATTGTATATTTACGTATTTGTCCCTTTTGAATACAGGTATAGGAATCTTATCGAGAGAGCTATAAAAGCAAGACTTGTTTATGGGAGCCCTCATATGAATCGTGCTGTTAGTTTCGAGTACATGAATCGCCAATTAGTTTGGAATGAATTTTCGGTAATAATCATTCTTATTTATTTAACTATCATATAAATCACCAATTAATTTTTTTTAGTAATTTTTATTCAGGAAATGTTGTTGTTGCTACTTCCCCTTCTCAATTCGTCTTCCATGAAGAATTTTCTTCGTCCATTCTCAAAAGACAACTCTTCAGGTTCTGTTGGAGATGAAACACTATGCCCCATCTGTCAGGCCAATCCAACAACCGTGTATCTCGCCCTTCCTTGCCAGCATAGGTACATTGCTAAATCAAAATTACCGTTTTGCCCTTCAGACTAGGGACCGGGACTGAGACCGATATCTCGTCTATGAAAAAGACATAAATGCCCTCCTCATCATAATTGGAGAACTTGTTTTGTGTTTTGATTTAACATAACAAGAATAATGTTTTGGTGATTGTTAGGTATTGTTATTACTGTCTTAGAACGAGGTGTGCTGCGACTCCGTCGTTCCGGTGCACCAGATGCAGTGAGCCGGTTGTTGCGATGCAACGGCATGGTGGTTTGGTTGACACGAAAAAAGAATAAGGGCATTTACGTCTTTTGCGAAGACGAGATGTGGGGTTTATATTTAATCAGGAATGAATATTTCTTGGAACACAAAAGCAATAAATTATACTTAATTTACTTTTGATCATTCTTTCACATTTGCTTAGGCTATTTCTTATACTTCTGGTTGAAATAAAATGTTGGCTTAAAATATTTAATTTTTTTTCCTCCTATAAATTCTTTTAATCTCCTACAATTTTGCACAACCATTTCACTCTCTATTTCTAAAAAACGTTTATAAAACTTAAAAAAAATACAAGATGGAATCATCTATATTGGACCATGGCAAACCAATTTTTTTCCCCCCACAACAATCGTAGAAGCACCAACCTTCATTTGGGCTAACGGAGCTGAAAGTTAACATCTAAAATTAGAGAGCAGATTTAAAAGAGATTGTAAAAAACCAAAAAAGTTAAAAGTAGTGCAAATCATTCACACATCCAAAAGATGAAAAATGAAAAAAGTTCAAAGGAGCGTAAATAATCAGCTAAGAGAAAATGTGAAACGAGTATTTGGTGTCCTTAAATGATTTTGACACATAGTGGAAACCTGACACACGAGCTTGGTCTCCTTTAAAAAAAACAAGAAACATAATGTTTGTGTGCATTATATTGTATACTATGATTATAGAAGATGAAGCAAGCAATGTGTAGATGTGATGAAACGTATGTTCAACCATCTGATGAACAACAAGAAATTGATGCCCAACAATATCAAACTAATGTTTGGGAAATATGTAGCCGAGAAACGCATAACTACCACCACTTAGATTTGATGGGACATATTTAAACCACTCAACTATTCAATGACGAAAAATAGATGTATGTAATTTTCTTTCCTTATAAGGTTTATGATTTTTCAAGTGGAATGATTTACTTTTTTATTTTACTATCCTATATATATATATATATATATATATATATATATATATATATATATACATACTAGCAGCATACCCGCGCAAAGCGGCGGAGCGTGTAAATTCTTTCGGTGATATGTTTCCTCTACAAAAATGTTATGTTACAAAAGAAAGTACATGTCGAAGACAAAATAATCAAACTATGATGTTATTTGGGAGATGAATTCATTTTTTGTTCCTAGACGGTGGGCTTTATAGCAGAGGAGGGAACAAAAAGGTATATGCGATTGGAGGGATATTTGAATCAACATGCTAAATTTAAAGATATCTAAAAAGGTTCAAAATTTGAATGAATCCGGGATTTGAGGGAACCATATCAAATTGCTGAGAAATATAAGGAGATTTGATGATAAATATTTGAATTCAAAATGTGGTTAAAATTTAATATTATTTTATTAATAGTTACTTGTACTATCAGCTTCATCATTTGAACGTTTTAAAAAAATATTATTATTATAATCAATCTATTTTTAGAAATAGTTAGATTTCTTTTATAAGATAGTATATATATATATATATATATATATATATATATATATATATATATATATATATATATATATATATATATATATAGTAAATTACACGAATCGTCCCTATGGTTTGGGGTAATTTACACGTTTGGTCCCTAATTTACTTTTTTAACTCGGAAGGTCCCTACCGTTTGTTTTTGTTACGCGTTTAGTCCCTTCTATTTGTTTTTGTTATGCGCTTGGTCTCTGTCTTACCTAAAAAGACTATTATTTGAATATGGAAAAATGATGGGATAGGTAGGGTAAAGTGAGGGGAGTGGGGTTGAGAGTGTGTTTATTTAAATAAATTAAAAAATCATGAGCAAAATAATCTTTTTAGGTAAGATAGGGACCAAGCGTGTAACAAAAACAAACAATAGGGACCCGAGTTAAAAAAATAAGTTAGGGACCAAACATGCAAATTACCCTAAACCATAGGGACTATTTGTGTAATTTACTCATATATATATATATATATTTCATTATTGTTAACCTTATATTTATTTTTGTTTTTATACGGTAAGTCAAATGTTTTAAAATTAATAATTATTATTTGTTTTAAGAAAATGTGAAAGTTAAATATAAAGTTATTGTCATTAAAATCTTATGAAACCTGGTTTAATTTGATCATGTTTTGGTTAGCCTGTGATAAAATTAAAATGATGATGGTGGTGATCGGCAACGTACAGGTGGGCGATGGTCTTAGTGGTAATCAACAACAACATATAAATGGATGATGGTCATGCTTTTGTTACCCTCGAAGAAAAACAAAAGCGGTGATAACTAAAGTGAAACCATCGATAAAGAAGGAGGGTTCTGATGACCAAAATACTTATTGCGACCATTTAAAACTAAAAACAAGTGTTTGTAGGGTTTGATGACAAAAACCCTTGAATATAAAGTATAATATAGTTTGAAAAATAAAATGAAAGATGAAATATATGAGTGATATGACACTAACATGATAATAGAAAATAAAAGATTAGATATGACCATAACATATAACCTTATTATACATGTTATGATAAATACTTGGACAATCTTTTGAATGTTTTGTAAGCTTTGTGCGGAAAATAGTTGTTTGATCAATTAGTTTTAGACTAAAACTAATTGATGATAGCAAGAAAGTATATGATTATATCATCGATTAGCTACATATGTTTGATATCCTCCCCTGTATGATAAGTTTATGGTCTAATAGTATTGTTTGTCTAGTCATCTTGTATGTATCGTAAAAATATAATTGTGATATAAGTAGAATAGACTAACAATAGTAGGAATGTGTAATAATAATAATAAATCCTAATAAAAAAGTTTAGATATGTATAGTCAGCCTAACAACAATTAGTCTAAAATTGACGTTTGTAAGAATACAGTTACAATAATAGTTTGGTCAAACATAATAGTCAAAGCCAAAATCTAAAATCGGGGAACCATCCCTCTTATCCCCAAAATCTAAAGTAGAAATTGTGCCTCTCACAAACTTTGTCGCTGCTGTCCGGCCACCGCCACCGCCACCGCCACCGCCCTGCTGTTGCTTGAGTCTTGAGGTTTGACTTGTTATCTCTTTTCTTTTTCATTTCGCTATTTCGCAATTTCGGCTTGAGCATTTCATGAATTGTTTATGTTGCTTACTGTTATAGTACTTCTGGTAATTACCAGTTGTTATTAGTGAATATTTTGTTAGGCTTTGTTAATGGGATTTGGGAGAATATTCTAGTCACGGTTGTTCATCGTTAATTGTTAATCGCTAGTAGTTATCATTATGATAGGGTTTGTTAAAAATATAAATTTAATTGTTAGGGAATTATAGTTTAAGTTAGTCGTTCGTTGTTCATTGTTAATTATGAACAATTACAATCTAATTGGTCTATCATTCTACCAGTGAAAAAATGAAAAGGAAAGCATCAGGAACATCTTCAACTGTAAATGAGTCCATTGATACCCCTCCACCTAGCTCTTCTCCTACGATGCTAACTGAAGCTGATTTGAATGATCTGCCATGGGATCCATCCGAGAGAAAAAGAATTTCAGAGTATCACCCTGATCAAAGAGACGAGATAAGAAAACAATATCTAATTAAAGGACCTTGTCAACCACGTGGACATACATTTCCATGGAGAGTAATAGGAAACAAGAAAAGACGTTTCAACCCAGCTTGGTTTAATCAATTTAGTGATTGGTTGGAGTACAGTGTGAAAGTAGATAAAGCCTTTTGCTTATGTTGTTACCTGTTTAAAGACCATGTTTCAAAACAAGGTGGATGTGATACTTTTGTGACAGAAGGCTTTAACAGTTGGAATAAAACTGAGAGACTTAGTCTTCATATGGGCAATGTTAACAGCTTACACAATAAAGCACTTAAGAAATGTGAAGAGTTTATGAAACAAGATGAATCTATTGCTATTGCCATTCAGAACAAAAACAATTTTGTCAAGAATGGGTATCAAATTCAATCAAGTCCTTCTAAATCCACTACTTCTCGCAACAATACAGCTCTTCTTGTAATCGATATGCAGGTATCCTTTTCTCCTTTCACTCTAACTCACACACACACACACACATACGCTTCTCTATGCATTTTGTTTGATAATTACAATTTACATCCTTTTGACAATGTTTTTTTTTTCTTCTTCATTCTAGAATGATTTCGTGTTGGAGGATGCGCCATTGCGCGTTGATGGTGGCCTTGCTGTAGTTCCTAATGTTATCAAGGCAGTTGAGGTTGCTAGACAACGTGGCTTCCTTGTTGTTTGGGTACTTTTCTATATAAATATATCGTTTTTTTCTCATTCTTTTATCTTCTTAATTTAACTTTTAGTATGATAGAACGTATTTGGAATACTTCTACGATGCTAGTTAGTTAATGATATACTATGGGGTTGTTTCTTTTTGACTTAATCTCTACAGAACGAATTAATGTAGGTTGTAAGGGAGCATGACCCAATGGGAAGAGATGTTGAGGTGTTCAGGAGGCATTTATATGGTGATGGAAAAGCAAAGCCTACTTCAAAAGGGAGCAAAGGGGCAGAGCTTGTTGATGGTCTTGTTATGAAAGAAGAAGATTATAAGGTGGTGAAGACAAGGTTTAGTGCCTTCTTTGCTACAAATCTTCATTCATTTCTTCAAGGAGCAGGGATTGATAGTTTAGTTGTTGTTGGTAAAATAAATTTGTTTTTTGATTATTCTGTTATTGGTTTCATCATATTGGTGGATATAGATATAGATTAATGGAAGTTGATTGTAGGTGTTCAAACTCCAAACTGTGTAAGGCAGAGTGTTTTTGATGCTGTGGAGCTTGATTACAAATCTGTTACAGTTATTGTTGATGCCACAGCTGCTGCTACACCTGATGTACATGCTGGTATGTTTTATCTTTTTGGCTTTATTTAACAAATTATTATACGAAAATTCAAATATTCCTTTCCGTACATTATTTATAACTAATAGAGTTTTATTGAACATAATATACACACATTAAAATCGTAATTTTTAGTTATTTATAGAAAAGAGTAAATTACAGAAATGGTCCCTGTGGTTTGGTCGAATTCTCACTTTTGGTCCCTAAGTTTAAATTTTGATAGCTTACATCCCTGTGGTTTGTGAAAATTGCACTGTTGGTCCTTGGTCCAGATAAAAAGACCAAATTACCCTTTCTTTCTTTTTTCTTTTTCTTTTAACAATTTATTATATATATATATATATATATATATATATATATATATATATATATATTATTGTTTTTTATCTTTATTTTAATAGAATTAATATAGATTATTTATAAAATTATTTTTATTTTTTAAATCAATTATCTAAATTATATAAAATCATATGATTATTATTATTTATTTATCTTTGTTTTTATGGTTTAAAAATCTTTTAATATTTTTGACGTTTTATTTAAATATATATTTTTAATGTTTTTTTGACGTTTTGTTCGTGCAATATAATTATTTTTAATGTTTAGTTATTTATGTTTGTTTATTTAATAAATAAACAAATATGAACAAAAATTATCTTTCGTTTAGTTAAACGAACGAACATGAACAATGGTCTCGTTTGTTCATTTATGTTCGTGAACGTTTGTTTATGATGTTTTTTTACGTTCATTTGTGTTTGTTCGTTTAATTTATTTATATTCATTTATGTTCAATTTTTTTTTATTATATTACCATATTATATGTTCGTTTATGTTCATATACGTTCAATTGTGTTTGTTTATCTTTATTTGTTTATGTTCGTTTATGTCCATATTCATTTATGTTCAATTTTTTTATTATATTACCACATTGTATGTTCGTTTATGTCCATATTATATGTTCGTTTATGTTCATATTCATTTCTGTTCAATTTTTTTATTATATTAGCATATTATACTAAATGAACATAAACGAACAAAGATAAACAATCACAATTGAACATATATGAACATAAACGAACATATGATATGGTAATATAATAAAAAAAATAAAACATAAATGAATATAAATAAATTAAACGAACAAACATAAATGAATGTAAACAAACATCATAAATGAGTGTTCACGAACATACATGAACGAATGAGACAATTGTTCACGAACTTCCCTGCCGAACAGTTTACGAACGGTTCACCGAACGTTCAGTTAGTTTACAGTCCCAAATATAAGTGAATGATGTAAGCAAAAAACACATAAAATACAACATTAAATAATTATATTGGACGAGTAAAATGTCAAAAAAAAAAAAACAACGTTAAAAAATATATTTAAATAAAAGTCAAAAAAATTAAAAGATTTTTAAACCAAAAAAAAAAAGATAAATAAATAAAGCAAAACATAAATAATAATATCATGATTTCATATAATTTAGATAATTGATTTAAAAAAAAATAAAAATAATTTTATAAATAATCTATATTAATTCTATTAAAATAAAGATTAAAAAAAAAAAAAAAAGGGTAATTTGGTCTTTTTATATGGACCAAGGACCAACAATGCAATTTTCACAAACCACAGGGATGTAACCTATCAAAATTTAAACTTAGGGACCAAACCAAACCACAGGGACCAATTTCTGTAATTTACTCTAGAGAAAATAAATCCCCTAATAAATTAATATTATTTTTCTCTAAAAAGATTTTTGGTGTTAAAAGTTACATAAATGAGAATGTGTTATATTGAAAATTTTACTCCATTCCTTGATGGAAAGGAAAACAACAGCCAGCCTCTGGCTAATGAAATGGCAAGTAACAAAATGGAAGGAATCACATTCCATAAGGGGGAAACCAATGGATTCAACCATTTCATTTCTTATCTGATTTTCGCGTACAAAAAACTCCCTTGGAATGGAAGGAACAACATAAGGTAATATGATTGGTTGGCTCGATGGAAATGGAATGAAATAAGTCATTCATAGATTTTTTTTGTTATGTATAATTAGAAAAGTAAACTGATAAATGGAAAAATAATATTATTTTATAACAATCAACTTTAACTAAATAAAGGTATAATACGCTATATTGTTAAATAAATTGCATATGAACATATTTCATGCCGTATAAAACATATACTATACTATATGTGTTTCAATTAGTTAAAAAAATTGTGTATCAGTAACAAGACTTGTTTATGAAAATATAAAAGCAAACACCATGAAAACTAGAAATAGAATTATAATAAAAACACCCATAATACCCAATGGAATGAATATAAAAATACTTCCATTCCATTCCCTTTCCTCTCCGAATAATGCATACCAAACACTACCTACCTTAGAGCTCATCATTTTCAAGTGTGGATCCTTTGTTTGCATAGGCGTAGGGGAATATTCTGTCAAATCTCTCAAGTGTTTTTAAGGTTCTAGTTGTCACTTTCTTTTTGAGCTCTAAAAGGAAATGGCTTTTATCATGTCTAGCCATAAAAGGTGACTATATATAGTTGAAAGAAAGGGATAAAGGTGTAAAATATTATATACATTTAATACATATATCAAGAAAAAGTTATATAGTCATATCAGTAAGACAATCATTAATAAAAGAGGGATAAAGCTATTATCATCGGGATCCATATGAAATGATGACCTCCACTCCACAAATAAAAGGTTAAATCTCAAAAACTTAATACAATACTGTTACTGGTTTTGTTAAACCCAGTTGCTTTATAATCGCCTTCTTGGTTTTGTTATATTTATGTTTTTCTTACGTTTTTGTCACCATTTTTGTGGTTATACTTATATATAAACTTTTTTTTTTTTGAATTTATTTTTGAACCAGCAAATGTTAATGACATGAAGAATATAGGAGTTGCAGCTCCAACACTTAAAGAATGGTGCGAGTCCAGTAGCTCCAACACTTAGAGAATCGTGCTAATATTAAAATATTATTTTCATTTCTTTTGAGCGTATGTCAATATGTATATATACACATAATTGAAGGGTTATATCTTTTCAAATCAATATGGTTGTAATGGCCTTCCATTGATTATCTATTAATGCCTTGTACTTTTGATTTCCTTTTACCATTTGGACATTCTGTGCAGTGTGCACTTAATAATTAGTGGCAGTAAATTTTGGAATTATGCGTATATTCATCTTAATATATATACTCCTTCACCAACGAATATACAAAATTATATATATATATATATATATATATATATATATATATATATATATATATATATATATATATATATATATATATATATTGAAATACTTTTTAAAATAACATTTAAATAGTATTGAAAAATATATAAGTGGAAAAATAAGAATAAAGTTCCATAAACGACAAAGTTTTTTAACACTTTAAAAGTAAAGTTGTCAAAAGACATACAAAGACATTAAAATTAACCAATGTTTTGAAAATTGGATACAGAGGCGTCAACACGAGTCCCACATGAGACCTGATTTACTTTTGGTTTTAACCGGTTTAGTAAAATTCGTTATGTAATATAAATACATTAGAAAACAAATTACTGAATAAAACATATCATAATACTTATACTATACATCATTTACTCATTATACTAAAAACCACACAGAATACTATGTTATGAATTCAGATCAATAACAACAAGATTCACAGATTGACAAGATTCAATTGATTCCTTTGATAAACAAAAGCAATAACAAGATGAAATGTTAGCCTTCGAGACGCTAACTATCTCCAAAAGAATCCTTACAAAAATATTCTGATTGCCCTTTACTGACCACTCCACTAACTTAAATACCCACAAGGATAACCTGGGATTAATTCCCAAAATGCCCTTGGTCATCTCTAGGGTGTGTAACGTCCTTGTTATCAGGTGTGGTCCCTACTGCTAGTGGCCTTGCCATATTTTTCCTTCTTTTGTACGTGAATTGGAGAGGTGGGTGCATGACATTACCCCGCCCCCAAGAATGGACCTTGTCCTCAAGGTCAAATTCAGGATACGTCTTCTGTATGTTCTCAAATTCTTCCTAGGTGGAGTCAAAATCTGGGGTGTTCTTCCACTTTATCAAAACTTCAATTCATTGCCCTGCATCATAGCTTACATTTCTCACTCCCATTATCTTTTCGGGTTCCATCTTTAGTTCCAATTCTTCAGTGAACTGTGCTGGAATGATTGGGGTTGCTGTTTGGTCACCAATGGCTTTCTTTAATTGCGACACATGGAAAACGGGGTGAATCTTAGCTGTTTCTGGAAGGAGTAACTTGTAAGCCACTTCCCCTATCTTCTTTGTGATCAAGAATGGGCCAAAAAATCGAGCGCCAGCTTCTGAAACGGCCTGTGTGTGACCGATTGTTGTCGGTATGGTTGAAGCTTTAAATACACCCAATCCCCTTCATTGAACTTGACTTCCATTCTCTTCTTGACAACGTGTATCTTCATCTTCTGTTGAGCTCGCAATAGTTGTCCCTTAAGCTCATCAAGTATGGTATCCCGTTCCTTCACCTGGTCTTCGACATTGGACACCCCAGTCTGTCCCTGTTGAATACGGATGATACGAGGAGGATCCCTGCCATACAGGGCCTTGAATGGAGTGCACTTGGTGGTCATGTGGAACGATGTGTTGTGCTAAAACTCTGCCCATGGCAGCCATTTGGACCAGGATTTTGGTTTTCCTTGAATGAAGCAACGAAGGTACATCTCAACCGCCTTGTTAACAATCTCAGTCTGACCATCCGTTTGTGGATGGTAGGCTGTGCTTCGCATTAATTCCGTCCCTTGAAGCCTGAATAACTCTCGCCAAAACAGGCTCATGAAAACTTTTTCCCGATCAGAAACGATCGATGATGGGAACCCATGTAGACGCACCACTTCTTTCACGAACAAGGCTGCAATCGAAGCTGCAGTAAAAGGATGTTTGATTGCCAAGAAGTGGGCATATTTGGTCAAACGGTCTACTACCACAAGAATAGTATCCAAACCTTGAGACTTGGGAAGTCCCTCAATGAAATCCATGGATATTTCATCCCAAACCTGATTTGGAATTGGTAAGTGTTGGAGTAACCCTGCTGGTTGCGTATTGGCTGCCTTTTGGGTGGCACATTCATGGCACCTTTGAACATGTTTCTGGACCGTCTTACGTATCCCGACCCAAAACCATTCCTCTGTCAGCCGCTGGTAGGTCTTGAATTCCCCAGAATGCCCCCTTATGACCGAATTATGGAATTCTTCTAGGAGAAGTGGGATCAAGGTGGAGTTTTGAGGTATAACGAGTTGTCCCTTATACAATAATCGATGATTGTTCACTGTGAAGCCCACATGAGTCTTTCCTTCATTGAGGATATCACTTGTTACTTGTTGAATGAAGGTGTCAGCTTCAATTCTTTTTGCAATTGGTCCACGGGTAGAGACCAAGAAGATGTAATGCTGCCCAGTTCTGGGTTAGATGTAAATTCCCGAGATAAGGCATCCGCTACCTTATTTGCTGTTCCTGGCTTATATTGGATATCGAAATCGAACCCCAATAATTTGTACATCCATTTTTGATACTCGGGTCCAACCTCACGTTGATTCATCAGATACTTGAGGCTCCTTTGGTCGATGCGAATAATGAAATGTCGTCCCATCAGATAGTGTCGCCATTTCTTCACAGCTAAAACAATAGCCATCAACTCCTTTTCGTATATATATTTTAGTCGGTTTCGCACCCCTAACACTTGGTTGTAGAAGGCAACGGGGTGACTGTCTTGGGTTAACACGACTCCAATTCCCGCTCCAGAAGCGTCGGTCTCCACCACAAAGGGTTTTGTAAAATCAGGCATAGCAAGGATACGGACTTTGATTAAGTAATCTTTTAACGATTGGAATGCTTCTGTGGCTTCCAGTGACCATTCAAGGTTATCCTTTTTTAGTTGATCGGTTAGAGGGGCAACAATCTTCGCGTAACCCGAGATAAACTTCCTGTAATAATCCATTAACCCCAAAAACCCTCTGAGTTCCCGTAGGGTGGAAGGGGTGGGCCAACATTCAATGGCTTTAACCTTCTTATTGTCAACGGCCACCCCTTGTGCTGAAATCATGTGCCCCATATACGCCACTTGTAATCTTCCGAGTTCACACTTTCCCGGGTTGGCATAGAGCTTATGTTTATCCAGTAGTTCCAGCACCAGACTTAGATGTTTCGCGTGTTGACGTTCATCCGGACTATACACCAATATATCATCGAAAAAGACAAGCACGAATCTTCTAAGATAAGGCTTAAACACCTCATTCATTACTGATTGGAATGTAGCCGGGGCGTTTGTGAGCCCGAAGGGCATGACGAGAAAATCGTAGTGGCCTTCGTGGGTTCGAAAGGCTGTTTTCGGAGTGTCTTCTTCCTTCATTCTAATCTAATGGTACCTGGATTTGAGATCCAGTTTGGAGAAAAACTTAGACCCGTGCAACTCGTCCAACAATTCATTAATCACAGGTATAGGAAACTTATCCTTTACTGTAACCCTGTTCAAGCTCCGGTAATCCACGCAAAACCTCCAAGATCCGTCTTTTTTTTTTTTTTTTTAACTAACAAGGCGGGACTTGAAAATGGACTTCTGGAGGGACGGATAACTTCTGCCTTTAGCATGTCTAACAACAATCTTTCGATTTCTGCCTTTTGCGTGTGTGAGTATCGGTAAGGTCGGACTGATACTGGCTCTGTTCCTTCTTTGAGTGTGGTTGTTGGTTCGGGGGGGGGGGGGGGGGGGGGGGGGGAGGCCACCCTTCCATTCAAAAACAGTGGAATACTTTTTGATAACTGACGTTAAAAATTATGGAGTTTCTGAGGGTAGGTTGGGTGATTCAAGGGATTCCAGGTGGTTGAGTTGCACCAACAGCCCACCTCTAACGGAATTAATGGTGCGGATCATCATTTTAAGAGACACCCTTGCACGTCCCAACGAAGGATCTCCTTTCAGTGTAATTACTTGACCGTTGACTTGGAATTTCATTATTTGGGTTTGCCAGTTGGTGGTCACTGCTCCTAATTTCTCCAACCATTGCACTCCAAGAATAACATCTGAATTTCCCAAATTTTAAGGGTATAAATTCTTCCACAATGTCTAGCCCCTGTATATGGATCAAAACTTCTTGGCATTTTCCTTGTCCAGAAACTGACTCCCCAGTGCCTAAGATAACCCCAAAGCCAGGTGCAGTGGCGACTGGAATTTGCAATTTCTCGATGAGAGTAAGAGACAAGAAGTTGTGGGTGGCACCTGGGTCGATCATTACCACCACTTCCGTGTTATTCAACCATCCCCTAAGTTTTAAGGTTTTCGGATTGGCAATACCTATCACCGAGTTCAAGCAAATTCCTGATAAGAGGGCGTTGATGGGGCCTTCAGGCGTAGGTTCCAACTCCAATTTCGGAGTTGATTTTCTTCTATATCCTCCTCTTCTTGAATCACCATTACACTCAACTCCTTCTTTTTGCAGCGATGACCAGGGTTCCACTTCTCATCGCATCTGTAGCAAATTCCTTTTTCCCTCTTGCTTTGAAGTTCCTAATCAGTGAGTCTTCTAATTTATGTGGGTCGGGGATGATTGGGATTAAGGGAACTAGTCCGTGCTCCCGCCATAGATGAACCTTTAGGGGAGTAGATGGTGGTTTTGATGGGTGTTATCAGGGGCATGGTCTTCTGTAGGGGGGGGGGGGGGGGGGGGGGGATACCAACGTGAGATTCGACTTCTGATGGGTATTGGGTCGGAGCTTTGCTTCTACCTTAATGGCGATGGACATAGCATGATCAATAGATCTGGGCTCAAAAAGTTGGACCTTAGACCTAATGTCTTCCGTGAGCCCATTGACAAACTGGCCCATAACCACGTCCTCCGGAATGTTTACCAGTGGTGCAAGCAATTCGATAAAGGAACGTTGGTAGTCATGGACTGATCCGGTTTGAGTTAGGGCTAACCATTGCTGGTAGAGCGTACCTGCATGAATCGGCCGGAATTGTCTAAGGAGAAGCGACTTCAACTCGTTCCACCTCGTGACCGGTCTTCTCCGGTGCTCCCATTGAAACCAAAGTAGGGCATCACCTTCAAGGGATACTACCGCCGCCTCCATTTTATCACTTTCTGATAACCTATAAAAATTGAAGTATCGCTCTGTTCTCAGGATCCACCCATCCGGGTTTTCCCCATCGAACAGAGGCATATCCAACTTCTAATATCTCAAGTTGTGACCGTCTCCACCCCGATTTTCGTATCTCATTCCTCCGGCATCACTACGAAACCCCCCACTGTAAACTCCTGGTGTTCCGTCTGTTGAATTGACCGGAGTGTTGTTGTTCTCCTCCCCCATCGGTTCTTTCTCATTAGGAGTTGTTGTTTGGTTCTTGACTATGGCCCCCAATACTTCTTCGAGCTTTTGATCCATCTTAGATTGATGTTGGTCCATCTTCAACTGAATAGAAGCTAGGGAGTCCGCTTGATGTTGGATTTTATGGCCTTGAGTCTCCAATCGATCATATAAGATGCCTAGTTTAGCCTCCAGCGATTCCACCCTCTTGAGGTGAGCTCCACCAGTCTCTTTCCCACCACCTTTCTCTCCAGCTATTTACCCAGGTGACTGCTCTGATACCAATTTGTTATGAATTCAGATCAATAACAACAGGATTCACAGATTGACAAGATTCAATTGATTCCTTGATAAACAAAAGCAATGACAAGATAGAATGTTAGCCTTCGAGACACTAACTATCTCCAAAAGAATCCTTACAAAAATATTCTGATTGCCCTCTACTGACCACTCCACTACCTTAAATACCCACAAGGATAACCTGAGATTAATTCCCAAAATGCCCTTGGTCCCCTATAGGGTGTGTAACGTCCTTGTTATCAGGTGTGGTCCCTACTGCTAGTGGCCTTGCCATATTTTTCCTTCTTTTGTACGTGAATTGGACTATTGGAGAAGTGGGTGCATGACATACTACTCATCATCTACGGTTTGTCATTCCAAAAATGCAACTTGAATGTTTGTTTTTCTTTGTTAACACATTCTTGTTTTCCAATCCGTCCATTTAACTCAACCTTTGCCAATCAAGAGATTTTTAGGACTCATGTATCCACTATGTAGTTTTATTAATTTCTAATTTTGTATCTTTTGTACATTCAAGCTATTTTGCGATCTAATCATATTTTTTGCAGTCACATCATTGCTACATGAATATTGAAAATATACTTCTCAACTTCTTCTTCATTGGTCATTACATCATTCTTCAACTCATTTTAAAAAGAAAATGAACGAAAATAAAAAAATAAATATCCCAAAAGTATTATAGTAATTTCAATATTTGAATAGACCAAATAAACAAGAAAACTAACCCAAAAAAAACCATCGATCCAAAACACTTACAAAATTTAGAAAAAAAATCACATACCCCACGTAGATTTTTATACTATTTTATAACTTATTATAGAAGAAAAAGAGAAGAAAAACTAAGAAAAGCAGTTATGAGGGTAGTGTTAACTTTGATGAACATCCGCACTTGTTACCCATTTTTAATAATCCTACCCCTTTAATTATTATTTTTTTGGTAGTCTTTTAAAGTCAAAACTTTATGTCACATCAACTACATTATATATAATTATTATGTTTTTTTTTTAATATTTTTTGGATGTTTATTAAAATGTTTTTAACCAATAGTGTTTAAAAAAATAAGTTTAATAATTATTTTTTATGTTTTTCTAATATATATATTTTTTATTATTATTATTTTTTTAACTTTCGACTGAGGAATGCTTTATGTATCTAAGTGAGAAAAGTATTTATATACAATAACAAATAAATTTCTTGAAAAATATTTTTATATGTATATGATTTAAATGGACTAAAAAATATTTTTTTTTTCTCTTTACCTCAACCATTAAAAAAAGTGTTTTTTATTCACTTAAATAAGAATACAAAAAATGCCTTGTATACATGAACCAAAACAAAAAAAAAAAATGATATGCATATGCTCTATATATATAATTTTTGTCGCAAAAAAAGGTTTTTTTCTATTCAAAGTTATAATAAGAAAAATATAAATAGTTAATAATTAAATTATGTGCAAAGTAATTGACCATTTATAGTTGGATTATTAATTAATAATCTAACGTATAATATTCTTGCTAGTATTAAGATCAAAATGAAACTAGTTTGTTTTGTAATTTATAACGCATAATAAAGATTATCCATAGCAATATAAAAGAGGATGAACAATAGAACCGGACAATATAAACAATATAAATATTTAATAATTAATATAATAAATTAAAAGATTATAAAAAATGGTTCTTCCTTTTCAAAATTATATTGTTAGAAGCCCCCAAAATTGTAATGTTAAACATAAATTAATAAAAATGTTATAAAAGTAAATTTATGAGACATATTTGAACAATAAATAAATAAACTTCAATGTAAATCACAAATATTAATATTTTGTACTAAAACAATTATTAAACATATATGAAAACGAAAAAATAATAAAATATTATACCTTAATTTTTTGGACCGCAGAAAAAAATATATAATCAATTATAATAAACTTATCAAGTAAGATAATTACAAGTTACTGGACCGAAGCAATGCATTTGATCCAAAGCATTTTGCCGGTAGCTAGGTGTTTGTTTTGTTTTTTAGGAGAAACTTAAAAAAAAATAATAAAAATTAATTAATCTATGTCAAAATAGAATACAATTGTAGAGTGTATTTCATGAATAAAAAGAATATCTCGTAATTAGAAAAAATATATATATAATCATTACCTAATTATTAAGGGGTAGAAATAAATGGAAAGAAAGTATGAATAAATGTTGCCTTCCTTTTTACTATTTTTTCCATTTTTTCAAATTAGTAACTTAATCAGCATTGTTGTATTTTTTTGGATAACTCAAAAGTAAAAAGTATTATATTGTTGATAAGAAAGTCGGTATTACTTGATAAAAGGAAAATTTTATATAAAAGATACTTATTTGAAGTTCTTGATTTATATAAATTAAAATTTATGTAGATTTTTGTTTTGAAAACATAGTTACTTTAGTTCAAAAGTATCTTAACTATCACATGAAAGATATAATAAATTAAAATACTAACTTTAGAATATTATAAAATAAAAATACGTATCGTAATATATTAACTCTAAAAATAATTATTGTAAACAAAAAATACACAATCACTAATCATATTAATAAATTTATATAAGTTATCCACATTTCACAACAAGATTTGAACTATCAACCATTTAAAAGAAAAACGCATTTGAATGCACTATACTATTAGCCTATTAGGCTACCACTACACGTTTTTGGTTAATAATCTGAATATCCGATATGTGGCTTTATTTCCGGTTGAATTTATGCATATAGTTTCTTTAATTCTTACATTAAATTCTCTTTATCGATTATTTTGAGTTACCCATTCTGATTTGGATTTGACACATTATTATTTTGATGGGGAAATGATTTATTAAGGTAATTAACTGTTGCCCTTCTACTCAATTGATCACTTTCCTTTTTATTTTTGTATCTCATTTACCATTGAACTTATTGTAGGTGTTCACAGAAACCATTGTTCTATTTTGTTGGGTGTAGTTGGGCTTATGGTCCTTGTGTAGATGAAAGGCTGAAAGAGGAGCCAAAGCAGGGGGTGATGAAAACTTAGTGCGAGACGGTTAGTGTGCTTATAATTCGAGTTTAAAAATTTAATCTTGCAAATACTAGATGTATGTTAATGAACTTTGTAACATGTTCTTATATGTGTTATTTGACTTATTTCTCGTATATTATGATCCTTAATCTAATGATGTATGTGAAAGGAAATCAGAATTTGAACGTGAAGAAATTTCAAACCACACAAACTAAAAATTATCTGGAAACCTATGCCAACAACTGGCAGTGCTTGGACTTCATCTTCAAATTTAATCTCAACCGATGTCAACCTTGACAAGATTGAATTAAATTCATTGACATGATCAAGGACCGACTGAGTTGTGACATGCTTAAGCCTAAAGCAATTTCAGGGTGCAAAAAACATCTCGCCCAATCAGTGGCAGTGCTTGGACTTCATCTTCAAATTTAATCTCAACCGATGTCAACCTTGACAAGATTGAATTAAATTCATTGACATGATCAGTCACTGAGCCACCTTCCTTCATCTTCAGGTTTACTAATTGTCGAAACAAGTGAACCTTATTCGTCATTGAAGGTTTCTTGTACATGTTGGATAGCGCTTTAATCAACCCATAAGTTGTCTTCTCATTGACAATGTTATAAGAAACGTTCTTTGCCAATGATAAACGCACCATACCAAGTTCCTGTCGATCTAACAACTCCCAATCCTCCCGCTTCATAAGGAACGACTTATCTTCTAACAACAGTTCATGTAAATTCTTTTGATAGAGGTAGTCTTTAATTCGCATCTTCCAGAAACCAAAATCTTTTCCATTGGACTTGTTAGGTGACAACAAAACAAGTTAAGCACTTCAGACAAATATAAAAAACAAACTTCGGTGAACTTACAAAATTCTGAAAAACATAAATCAAAAGAACACAATATTTAACGTGGTTAGATCAAGGTGACCTACATCCACGGACGAACGAGAGAGAGAGAGAGAGAGAGAGAGAGAGAGAGATGATTTTATTAACTTTTTGGAGTAATTACAAACACTCAAAGTTGTATCTCACTTTTTGAGATCTCACCGAAATCTAGAAATTTACAATGAAGGGGGGTATGAGCCTATTTATACTTGAATGATCAAACCTAAAACCCTAATGGGTCAAGCCTATTGGCCCATAGGCCCATGAATGGTGACAACTAATCATATCTGACATGCACCGTCTTCTGGAACATTCTTTCATCTTGAGCATCAGGGTCGGTCCAGACGATAGGTAACCCGGGTGACCGCCCAGGGCCCACGTCTCTAGGGGCCCAAAAATTCTAGGCTATGTAGTGTGTGTGTGTGTGTGTGTGTGTGTGTGTGTATATATATATATATATATATATATATATATATAAACTTATTGCCTAAATGATTTTTAGAGCATAAAGTTTGTTCAAACTCAAACTAGCTCAAAAGATAAACAATTTTAATTGCTTGTTATTGTTAATTGAACACATCTATAATGAAGAATAAATGATATGTTTTTGAATCTTTATTATATTCATCTTAAAGGGGCCCTTTCTTTTCGCCCCGGGTCTCATATATGTTTGGATCGGCCCTGTTGAGCATCATAGAGGACTTCATAGCATACTTGACTCATTAAGGACCAAGACAGTCCATCTTGCACTATGATGACACAACAATAATATGGATGGCGCAAGAGGCATCAAATGTGGCACAAGAGCATCTACGTTGGAGCAACATCACCATCTTAGCGCAACAATAACATGAATGGCGCAACAACATACTCCATGGCGCAACAAGAGTATCTCATGGGGAAAGAGAGATACCCCATGGCGTAAGAGGGAGTATCTTGGTGCAAGAAGGAGTGCCCTTGATGCAACAACATCCATCTTGGCCCAAGTCTTCAGCAGATGGAGCCTTGTTGCTCCATATCACTCCCAAGTGCTCCAAACCTCTTCCAGGTGCTCCAAACCCCCTTCTGTATGATCTGTTCCTTTGACACTTTATCCATTCCTTTGTCAGATGATCCGTTCTTTTCTCAAATGATCCGTTCATTTGTCACATGCTCCATGAACCCTAAGTGCTTCATTATGATCTAAGTGCTCAATTATGACAACCCGAATTTTCCAATTGTTTTTCCTCCGCATTTAAGCAATCCAAAAATTAGCCAAATTTAGTTCAAAATATTTTTGGCCGGATTTAAGCCCGTTGGAATATTTTAAATAATATTCATCAAGCAAACCAAAAATAAGGAGGTATAAATTAAAGTTTTCCGGGTTTAACGGAAGTCGCGAAAAACCCCGTTCGCGGTTGGTGTCTGGTGGACCCCCACCCAGTCCATATACTCAACCCTATATAAGGGTTGAGTGGGTTTCATCCCAACCTTTTTCACACCTTAGACACCTCCTCTCTCTACTTTCTCTCTCTACAAACCGGGTTTTGATCAAAAATCGCC